CAACGGCCAGTCTAACTTTTGCCACCCTCACAATTGTGTAGAGGTGACAGGACACATTTTGTAACCGCTGCTTAGGCACCTGAGGAATCNNCCATAAACTGTTTGTAACATCTGCAAAATTGCAGGTTCAATTTTATCAATCACTCTCAACTAATTCGGGTGCCGATTCGGTGCGCCCATGGCAATATGCAATTTTATAACAAAGTTAGTTCTCCCTAAAGAAATCGGGAACGTGGTCTGTAACAAGAAATGTAAAGTGCAAGTGTTTTTTTCACTCTCCTTTCTCTCTCTCTGCATAAACGTTTCCAGCGATTTAAGGAGACCGGTTCTTCCGCTCATCTCTTGCTGAAAACGCTTGACATTATCATGAAATTCTCAACAGACGCGTTTACTGAAAAATGAAAATCGCAAAACAGCGACAATGATTTCTACTCAGCTCAAAAACTATTACTTCCTGGTATTTCCGGATGGAAGTGGTCTTGCAATCACTATTGATCCCCACTTTATCTACAAGGTAAAAAAGCCCCTGGTGGCGGGAACTCAAAGTAATGGGTTGTGGCGTCTCGTGTTTGGAACGGAAAGTTGTGCAGTGGCGTTCAGTAAAACGTGCAGTGATAACTGTTAGAACAACCGGTGGTCACTCAATCAGAGCTGGAGCACATTACCTTGATTCAAATGATGGTTGAAGCTTTCAAAGACTGTCCAGACAGACGTTTGGTACCGTGGGGCGTTCTGACGTTTTATCCATTAATTTTCGATAATTTCGTGACCTCTGTTGCTACAGTGGATATTTGTTCTCGTTTGAAGGTTCTACATAGGTTATTCCCTCTATTGAATAAGTAGATGTAAAAACATATGTATTTACTTATCTGTTAGCAACCTTTCGTCAAATCTGATCGTTTACCGAGATTCGCGTAGTTGATCTCGTCAGCAGGTTGAAAATGAAAAGATTTGCGAACTCTGGACCTATTCAATTCAGAATTCAGGTAATGAATGAGGCTCTGGAAACAAATGCACACAAAAAGTTGCTTGAAGCAGTCTCGACCGTAAACTCCTTCGACGCAGCTCTTCATTGTCCCCTTTTTGATTAGGCTTCCATATTCATATGTCTTGTTCGTTGTTTATGTCCACAAGAACATGGTAACCTCACCTATGGTCGAAGAAACGCATCTATAAAATGATCCGATGTTTTCGACGATCCCAGACAGTAAAAAGCAGCACAAAGCTCACAAGTTAAAATTTGATGATCCAGATGGAGTGTCAGATTCAAATTCTGTTTCAATCTGAACAAAAATGCTTAGAATGATGTACCATTGCCGTCTCCACAAAAGGCCTCGACCAACAATTCCCCTATGCCGAGGTGAGAAGAGTCAAAAGTCATAGCCAGTTGTCAGCTCTTCCCCTCACATATATATTAGGATTCCTCACCCGAACAAACGAATAGATGAGAGAGACGATGCCCTCTTTGTTGCTTCCTCCATCCTGCGAACATTTTTTGCGGAAATTTTGGTGAAAGAATTTCTTATTAAGAAAAATAAATAGGATCATGCCATTTTCAAAAGGTGCGGAATACGTGTTGAATAGCTGGCCACAACAGTATATCAATGGAATAGCAAGCATAATTCGTATAAGCCATGTCAGCGGACATCCAGAAACTGATGTCAATAAAAATATATTTTATTTAGGGAGCAGAATCTTTCACGATCGGGAAGCGAGCTTGAGAGCTATAAAGAGGTAAAAGGGATTGCCACACCCCAAGACGGACGAGCTTTAACGTCAACGTGCTCATAAAGACGCCCATGTTGGAAGTTTAGACAACTATTGCGACCCAAGATGCCAGTGAAGGACGACTTTGACCATTTCTGATTCGATGTAATCACCTCTCTACGTGGTTGCAACAACTGAAATCTCGTCCAAACACACCTTTCATAACATTTCTGCCATGATAATCTCGTACAACTCCTGTTTTCTTTACCTTTTTGGGCTTCGATTTCCGAAAAGCCGACGAATTTTTTTTTGCTCTTTCCGCCACCAATGTCCTAATCTCCACCAACACTTCTGCTTGCCATGCTGAAGGGGGAACCTCAAAATCAACATGGACTGTGTGTCTGGGTAACAAAGACCTGATAACATTAGAGCTGCTATCATTAGTATGAAAAATGCGTTATGGGTGGGCCCGAGTTTCCTTTTTCATTTGCGTAATCTTTATTAATTTATGAATTATTGAAATGGAATGACAGGTGGAGAAAACGAGCAGACTTGGCACCTCCTCCTGCTCGCTTTCAATCAAGTCACCAAGGCTGTTCACGGTATTTGTTAGGCAACGAGTAGAAGACGAGACATCAGTGATCGGTATACCTGATTCAGGAGTAGAAACTTGAACTTCGAAAACGCACCTTCCAGATTTTTGGTCCGATAAAAAGGGATCGTACTACATTTTTGAATCTGAATTCACCTCGAAAGATACGGCAGGTGGAAGGGGAAAATTTCCTCTCACGATGCTACGGAACAGCACTCTTTGAAGTATCTTCGCTCGATGGAGAAGGTCGGGGCAAGAAAGAGAAGGGTGTAGAGGTTTTCTTTCCTTTACTAGAATGTTAAAACTTCATTTTCCACTTGATATCAGGAGCTACCTAAGCGAGAATAAAATATATTCCCATTTAAAACTTACAGCCTGCTTACAAAGTTCAGCATTTCCTGTTCGGTAGGATTTACTCGGATTTGACTCGAAAAGATTTTAAACGTGTCGAAAATAGTCGTATATTTGATTTTATTCTATCAGCACGAAATTTAACAGAAACTAACTAGAATACAATAAATGAATTTCGGAATTCCAGAAAACAACCTTTTCAAATATCTATTAACATTAGCCAAAACATTCAACGGCTGTAAAGAAAAATTAGTAGCGCTTCCGTTTAAGGGTACGGCTGCCTTGACTCTCTAAAGAATTATGAACATCAAAATCACGCTCTTTACGATTTTCATCCTAAAAGGAATTATATAGAATTCAGCAGCGACTGTTCGATGCTCCTTGCTTCGGAATCGTTTTTGAATCACTCTGGTGTCCATCGAAGTTTCAGGTAAGTTGTTTTTGAAGTTATTCAGAACTGAAGTGCTGCATATCTCCGCTTCAATCCACTGCGTTACCACAGCGTTGCTGTGTCATATTATCATGCGCTCATCATAGTCACATGAGCACAGCCTTGGCGAATAGCCTGTCGCAAAAGTTATTACCCTAAAATTCCATAGATAAGAGCGGTTTAACCTACCGGTGAAAAATGAATTGGAAAAAATCGAAATTGAATGCAGTCACTTTTTCCAATCCATTTTTCACCGGTAGGTTGAACCGCTCTTATCTATGGAATTTCAGGGTAAATCACAAATGAAGTATTGCCTAGTCGCGGCGCTTCCAAGGGGGTCTCATGAAAAGAAGCTACCGTTGCGCCTAACATATTCGGCTACCTCTTCCTTGCTAATAAAATGGATTGTCTGCCACATCCGACAGTACTTCTTTAACAATTCCAATCCGCCTACTCCGCTCGTGTAACCAACTGAAGACTATGTCAAGCACTTTGCCTTATTGCCACTTTTGAGCGATTTTATGCACACCTTGTTACAACGCTTGGCGTCCTGCAACAGTAAGATCGAAAATGAGCCACGATCTGGTCAATCAATTGAGATGTCATGGTTGAGATATCACTTCATAAGTTTTATACGATCAAGATAGTTGTGTTCTTTTATAGTAATTCTTCCGACTATGAGCTCCTACAAGATCTCAGAAGGCTTTTGGAGCACTTCGAAATAGTCGGCAGATTCTTTCCGAACACTGGACATGGTTCATTTTTACACATAGTTGCAGTAAAATGAAAAGAGATGAAGTAAAGAGCTGCTGCTCTCACTCGTTTACCAGCAACTAATACGACGATGATTTTTGAAGGTATATCTTCATCCCAAGTTTGCAACATAATATATTACGAAAATTGACATCTACCAAAATAAAATCATTTAATCAGTAAGGGATTGCAGGTTACCGATCTCACACCATAGTGTTGTACCTGCTTCAACCCGCATCATACTGCTTTCAGGTAGTTTTGCCATTCTGTTAGCACCATGAAGGTGGTTGATGAAAAGTGGGTCTGGTATCTTCTCCCCGAACGGCGTGTCGTGCTCGCCGCACGCGTTGTGAAGGGGAATTTTTGAATTCCCAGTGGAAGGATACGGAGAGTCGCCGCGGAACTGCTGCCGCAAGCCGGTGGAATTTGGGGAGAAGTTCCGTCATCCAGGAAAAATTCAAGGGGGGGGGGGGGGGTGGAAGTGGGGAGTTGAAATGGGCAACATTTTCGCTTCAAACTACCCACTTGGTATCCATTAAGTGCATCGTACCCACGCTGCAGATCCTTTTTCTCTAGGATGAGCTGCATTTTATGGTTAGAAGAAGGAAGCCGTAGTGACGAAGGGGGAGTTGTCAACTCACAGACTGATGCGCTGAAGTCACAGCGCTGGCTGCGAAGTTAGTGGACGCCTCTGCTTGCAGTAGAAGCGTATCACAGAGTGATACAATTAGATTGACTCACAGCAATCACCTATGCTGCGTACTAGTACGCCTCGAACCCCTCCATTGCCAAATCTGTTACGTTTTCTGTAAAGCAGCCACGGAAACCTGTACTGAGTTCCGAAAAAAGTTTCAAGGAGAGCGCGCATCTCCCTCTTATTTTTTCACCATAAAATGCAGAAGTTTTTTTGAACGAAAATTCCGGTGCGCTTATGTTTTTCTTTTTGACCGATGGATTTTGCTTGCGTTCTGATTAGAGCTGAAGGACGTCCTTCGGCCTGCGAACACTTTTCGGCGTTCTCTACGTATGGGAGCAGAGTAGAGGAAATAGCAGTCGTTCCAACGAGAGTTATGAACACCGACTATTACGGTTGTGCACTTTGCAGTGAATCACTATTTAAGATCAGCGCCCCTCATGGCATTGTCCGTTCCGTGCTGCCGAAAGAGGATGGAACTCGACTGTCGAATTCGGGCCTACCGCTTTGTGGCCTATGCGGCGGTCACATTCTCCGTCATTGCTGTGCTGTCCATATGTATATCCTTACCGATGGTCTACAACTATGTTCATCATGTCAGGCGAAGCATGCGCGGAGAACTGAGTGATTGCACGGTACGTGGAACTTCTAAGAACTGTTCAATAGAGGACTGTTTTTTTCCTAAAAGCCTTTAAAAAAGTTATTTTCTTCCAGGGAACTGCCAAATCATTGTGGAGCCAAGTGTACAACATGAAATCCCTTGCTTCCCGTAACCGTACTACACGTCAAATGGGTTACGATGACATTGCCATCGCAAGCGGAGGTGGAATTTCGGGAGGAGGCTGCGATAATTGCTGCTTACCAGGCCCTCCTGGTCCACCAGGACCAGTCGGATTACCGGGACGGCCAGGGAAACCTGGTGCTCCAGGTGCGCCTGGAAACCCTGGGCGTCCACCACAGCAACCTTGCGAGCCGATCACGCCTCCACCATGCAAGCCCTGCCCTCGTGGGCCTCCAGGGCCTCCTGGACCCACTGGTCCACCAGGAGATCCAGGACATCAGGGGCCTACTGGACCAGTTGGTCCGGATGGCCCTGCCGGAGAACCAGGACCACCAGGTCCACAAGGTCCGAATGGGAAACCAGGAGCTTCAGGAGCACCCGGAAAGCCAGGCGACAATGCTGCTAAAGAGACTATTCGTCCCGGTCCCCCTGGTCCTCCAGGGCCACCTGGACCACAAGGACCACCCGGAGCAATGGGTCAGCCTGGTAGTGCTGGTGCACCAGGTCAGTTTATTTTCCCAGAGTTACATATTTTGAAGTAGTACTGTTCAATTTGATCCCTATCATTTGCAGGACCCCAAGGACCGAAAGGACCACCAGGAATGGATGGAGAGAAAGGGGCAGATGGGTTACCAGGCACTCCTGGACAGGCCGGCACTCCAGGTGAACCGGGAGAGCGTGGAGTTTGTCCGAAATACTGCGCTATTGATGGGGGAGTTTTCTTCGAAGATGGAACTAGGCGTTAATTTAGCCGTAGAATGCCATGAATATAGCGCTTCTCAACGAAACCATCTAGGTGACAGTGATGGCTTCGAAGGAATAAATGTTTTACTTAGTTGTAGAGAAATTCAAACCCATCAGCTAATCATCAACGTGGAACAAGAAGAAAAAGGTGTTCTTGCCTTGAACGGAAGTGTCGATGGTCTTTCTCTCTGCAACGATTCTGAAAAGTGTCCACTACATTGTCGCTATAGCCTTGTTTGCAGACGATAACTCAGTTGAAGTCCTCGCGCTTCATCACCATACGAAATATTGGGCGCAAGGAATTAAGCTTTCAGTGAGTGTTATCTACTAGCCCTCGACTTTCAGAGAAAATAATTTTCTGTATTGCGGAGAGTCCAAGAGGAGCACTTGGCTCGTATGTACTTATAAAACACACTAATTGGGGTTAAATACAAATACCCAAACTGGTAGAGTAAGGAAAGTTGTAGGAAACATATGTCATTGTAGTAAGGAATCGTTATGACAGTAAGACTATATGATTAGGGTGGCGTTCAGAGTTTTTGGTCATTTCCTGCAGATGACTCTTTCTCTAACAGATGATTCTTTCTCTACCTACCAGTTAAAACGAGCGGAAGTGGTGTAATGGATGGTGGCACGCTATCACATGCGCATGATCTGGACCGAATTCGCGACCGAAACTGATCAGCCCAGTCACATAACCACATAGCTGTTTTTATCACCATTGACAAGTCTAATACCAATGGACATTCGACTGGTGTAGTCATTTTTCATGAGCATCTCTCCCTAAAGACGGAGGTGATGTAGTGGCAAGTGGCGCACTATCTCACACGGACGGTCAGGGGTTCGAATCCCGGATCGATGCCAGCTTAAGCCAACCAAGCCTTCCATCCCTCCTGGGTCGGTCAATTGGTACCATACTCGTCTGTGAGGATAAAAGCACTGGCTTTTAATCGGCTGGCCACCGCATGTCATTGTATAGCCCGCAGACGCACTCATTACGCCACTGCGATTCTAATGGAAATCGAGTGCGAGAGCGTATTCCTCAGACGGGATTGATTAACGTCAAAAACTTAATCCTCCATCTCTCCCGATCTGACGCCATTTTCTGACCTATGGGGCTTCGCCTCTAGGCTCATATTTAGAGACCAGGTCATCTGAACGTACTCCCTCCCCTGTCTCCTAAGAGCGAGATTGGCAGTAGTCAACACCACGTCCGGTTGTTTGACTCTGACCAATAAGTGAAATATAACATATTTGACTCAGTGAGCTCGTTAAACAGTATGAAAAACGTAATAAAGTGACGAGAAACCAAAAGAAACGTGAAGATGGCTCGTTTCGCCTCTTCACCAGACACACCACCATTCCCACCTTTACCTGAGGCTCATCAGTGGTTTGGGGTTAGTTACAAACTAATGGGTAAAATGCATTGTTCAATACACTTGATAATGCTCAATACTGAAAACTTTTCATAATTAATTTAACCAAATTGGTAATGATATTAAGAGAAAAACCGAAATCAAAAGCATTATTCGGTGAAAATGACATTTTTACAATATGAATATAAAATACATTGAAATAATAAAGAAATATCAGCCTCCTCAAGGTTACCTAGATTTGTAGAGGCCTATGGCGGTTGGCCTACTTGATGGAAGGGGGGGGGGNGGGGGGGGGACCAAATCGAGATTCATTTGTACTCCTGTTAAACGACATTTCATTGTCAGACCTCTGCTCTTCTTCCCTACAATTCCTTACGAAAATAAAAGTTTTGCTTTCTGACAGACCAAAAGCTCAGACTCTTCATACCTACTCCATTCGCACTTCAACATAGGAGTGGTCAGTCCATGAACCGCCTACTGACCAAACTGAACGTGACCTCAGACTCAATTCCCGATTTCTCAGCCGCGATCTTACCACACGTAATCTCAATTGCACTCACTCAAATGAGTTTATTGTTACTCTCCGTCCCGTAAAGCTTCCATCCTAAATAACTTCCCAAATTCCACCACTACTTGGAAATAGCTTTCAGAGATCACGTATGAACTCTTCTGTTCTTGGGAGTTAAGTCTATGTCAAGCACTCTAGCTCGCATTGGTATCAAAGGCATAATCAGATGGGTCTTACTGGTTAGACGAGTTAACCGCCCTAACTCTACTGGCGACAAAGTCTACGGTAACGTGTTTTTATGTAAAATATCAATATTTGGAGGCAATAGGAGCTAGCATCGGCAAATGAAGGTGGTTCGGGTGGGCAATTCACACCATCCCATCAATTTTTGTATTCTAGATGTATAAATAAAGTTGTCTCATTGAGTTAACAGTACACCATACTAAATGAAAGTGTGACCATGATATTGAAGAAACTCGTTTTGCTGTCATAAAACCAAATGAACACCGACAATGGTTTGGAAGTTGTGAAATTGTAGTGTTGAAAAGAATAAAGGGGAGTTTGCACTTTTTTGTTATGAAAAGCCCTTGTGGGGAAGGTTGAAAGTGGAGGGTCTTGCCATAATTTCTATGGCAAAACATCTGAGCTGTATGCAACCTGCGCCCTCTTACTTTCAGGTAATACTCCATTATGTCATAATATTATCTTGGTGGGGAGGGGGAAAGGGTGGTGGTTGCTATGGAACCTAAAGGAACTCTCGCTTCTCGGAACTTCTCGATTTGGATTCTGGTCGCGCCCTCACACCGAGATATGGGAAAGTAAGTTTGTTCTCAAATCGGGTCGGCGAGATAGAGGAAGCAACAAGGCGAATTAACCAACAAAATGATGAGAGCAAGGTCTTCAGGTGACTAAGTGTAATCGTTTGATGGTCATGACCACTATTCTTCATGCTGAACCGTGTTCCCTTGACCCTGTTGTGATAGATTCCTCGAGGAGCTTAATTTGGCTCTGTGAAAGAGGAACTACAGCACCTTCAACTGAAATTTCGTTCCCCTAGAGTTGTTCAAATACCTGCCGAATGGTTTATTTTGGTTATACTCTCGGAGCAATCGAAAAGAACAGATGTGCAGTGGGTGATTTACGAGCAAGAAAGGGCTCATCTAGATGTTGCTGAAGTACAATTTTCGCGGAATGGAAGTAATATCAGAGGGATCCGAAACGGAAGTAAATGTCAAGGCGTGGATCACCTTCAAGAATCGGAACTTCTTTGCTTGTGGAATCAGACATTATAGCAAATGGGAAGCAGTGATTGGCGTAATATGGCGGACACGTTCCGGAGTAATTATTTGAACATGTCTTTGTTGAATATTTTTATCGTTTATTTGAAATAAAATTTTTTGAAAAGAATCCGCAATAATTATGCTTCAACCTATATTTTCGAGGACTGCAAGCGATGTTCTTATAATCCCTGCATAAATGTCTTGTTGGTATTCGAGGACATTCAATGTCGGCAATCATAGAAGGAAGACATTAGGTTCTAAAAAAGTCTGCAGCAATGTAAAACCGTTAAACGGCTTCGAGAAACATTGAAGAGTGGCAATGAACACTAATTTTACTTCAAAAACTAGTACTGCGTCAATGATGACTGTTCAACAAGTGAAATGAATTGAATCAGCCTGAACTCGTCTTCCAGGAGGTTCTATCTACTGTAAGAGCCAATTGTTGAATTAAGGAAAAGAAGAAAATTAAAGGTGGCAAGGTCAATGGTAGGAACTATCACCCAGGAGCTAATGTCAGAGGTGGTCGCCCCCTTATACCAAACCCACGATTACAAGGTCGAAAACGTCTTGAATAAGGCACAATAAGGTGCCAAAGATTGTATCGTGTGAGTACCGCACCCCCATTAGGCTGACTATGAAATCTAATCGTCGGGCACCTGTTTTCGCATTGGAGCAGCTTTGGTGAGAAATAGTTTAGTAGAGTAGATAGTAGAGTAGTTTGATGTGTCTTAGATAACTCTCTCATTCCACTGTTGGCCCTTGTGATAATCCATCATCAATTGGTTGGAAAACTATTTTGGGCATTTTCAGCTTAATGTGTTTAGCGTACGCAGTGATACCCAGTACCCTTCCATCGTTATCCAAACCCTAACCATAGTACTTCTTTAAAGATTTATATCTATTCAGACGCAACATTTTCATGTTCCTATTGTTACTTTCCCACTATTCTGGACTGCTAGTTTCATTAATTGTTGAAAAGCGCTTACCCTAAAAAAAATATCGTGAACTGTACCTTCAAATAAGGTGATCTGCGTGTTGATAAGACCGAAGGTAAATTTTCCCTGCAAAAAAGAAGTAGCGGAAGTTCCAAGCTTGTTTTTGCATATTCATGGATAATTAAGACCTGACCCTGATACAAACGGTGGGTCATATCAGGCATCACCATATGTGAAGCTCAAAAGGTATCGCTCTTGTATTGGAACATGGGAAGCGTTTCCAATTAAAATCGAGAACCTTCCTGCGCTAGACCGACATTGAGTGCCTTTGACATTTTTACCTGAGTCAAAGTGGAAGAACATCATCATCTGTTGTTTTCTAAGACATCAGTACATGCAAACATATTTCCTTATCACAGCTTAGAATCACTGCCATTTGCATTTATATCTGCAAAAGTTTTTTTCGGAGCTGTGAAATCAATCGCTTTCGCCTGCAACTCATATATTTGCCATACATATAAGTGAATGGGTGGTAAATATTCAATTATGTATGTATGTATGTATGTATGTATGTATGTATGTATGTATGTATGTATGTATGTATGTATCTTAGAAGACCAGTATGATCGATTGCTCTTTTATTTTCTATACCAATGCTGCATAATTCGAGCGCTTCCATAGATTCCTTTCACTAAGGGCTTTCAGACTTCTGAAACGCCAGCGCGTAAAAACAGAACATTCTCACTTTAGAACACAAACGCAATAGAACTTCGAAAAACTGCTGTCGAGTTAACACCGATTCTTGACGGTGCTCTTCCAGGCTTCTCTTAGCGAGTCTCAAAGAGCCCTGCTGTCTCTCTTACATTATTTTTCTCCCTACACGTCTGCTACAACTAGCCAAAGAGACATTGTGTTGCAGACTACAAACTCCTTCAAACATTCAGTATTGACGAGCGTCTCATGGCATCGGTTTACTCTTGCATCAAGCATATCGACAACTTAAGGGATATAGGGTGAAGATACTTACAGCTAAAAATGAGATCTCTTGCAGTGCGTTTCCGTCTTACGTGAAAGTAGGTACAGACACCTCCAAAAAAATACTCGAAATTGAGCCGTTGTACTCTATGTACGGATCCACATTCAACCTCATTACAAAAAAAAAGTTTTCCTTTCTCGTCCCCTCTTCGAACAACAAGATTTACATGCACAAAAGAGAGACAGTCCCGAGTAACGATAGCGATGCTTTGTAAGGTTTGCGGTAATTTGGTATTACCTTGCTTGAACTCGAACAGACCAATAAAACAACAACTTTATCCTTAAGGCACACAATACAACTAAGGCACAAGATCTTCCCAATAAGAACAGTGGGCAATATGAATAGTGCACAATACAATAGTGCACAACACAAAAGGTTGAGATACAATTACACCAAATGAGCTCTCATGAGAGGGAGAGTGTTGGCCCTACTTTTGAGGGCACCAAGGTGTCAAAAGTTGCTCTTCCTCGTCTTGGGGGAGGCTAAAGCGCGTGTCTGAGGGTCCCCCCTCCGAGGGTAATCCGTGCCTGACTCAAGGCAAGAATGAATCTCTGAATGAGTTTCCACCCTTTTATATGCAGCTCTTCCCGCGCACGGATATTTCGTAATCTTACTCTCTATCTTTACCTCTATTTCGCGTTTTCCTTACACATTTCCTATAACCCATATTCGTAGCCAGTACAGACTTCTGCAACGTTCTGATGATTCCATGTTTCCTAATCGAACGAGATACTATTTTGAGAAGAAGTGAGAATGATGGGACCCTAAAAAGCTTGGCCGTGAACATATGCGGAATTTCAAATCATCTCATCATTACTGATGGGTGCCCTGAAGAAAAAATGAAGCTGAAACGACCTAATGAGTTACACACACTGTTTTTCCAAACGATCGCGTGGCATGTGAGACATATTAGTCGGTAAAAAAAGTAAACTTCGCACTTGACTGGGTTTCCTTTTCGCTCAACATTGAAGAAATTGTCAACATTCTAGAAAAGTTGATTCGCTGCCATTAGCAGCTTTGTTGACACCACAGTTTGATTAAATATTCAAAGTTCAAGATACTGTTTATTTGAGAAAAGTTGAGGAGTTACAAAGGATGTGATGAATACAGCGGGACTCCCGAAGGTCTTTTGTTTTAGGGAGGGGGAGCTAGGGTGCTTCCAGAGTTCAACGACGTGCATTGCTTCACCTACTGACCGATCGACCGACTGACGACGTTGCGGACCACGTGTTGACAACGCTGCGTACTGATGGCTACCGCTCATGCGGTCCTGAACACATCCCGTCCTGCGTTGTCAACACGTGCCCAGCAACGGCGTTGGTCGGTCTGTCCGTCAGTGGAAGAGGGCACGTCGTTGAACTCACCCACTAGGCAATTTTTCACACAACTTAAGCCTGGGCCTCTGTGTGCAAACGCTTGTTCAGAAATACGTTGTAACAATCCAGGTCTAGGGCTGACGGAAATCTGTGTGTCTTTATGAAGTTGACCGCTCGATTCGGACCTTTCTCTGCCACAGCTTCAACTTTCTCGCCATCGCCTCCAGAGCGGCTTACCTATGCCAGGGCTTCAGTGCTGAACCAGCATCCTACTCATTTCACTTTCTCCTCTCTCAGTCCATTCTGCTCACCAAACCCTCCTTTCCGTTATCCCTAAACTCTACGACCCGTGCTTGAACCTGACGACAGGGTCCGCGAAATGAGTGTCTTTGTGTGGAACGAATTTCAGAGGCCTTCTTGTTTCACCCTTTCTTGATAATGGGAAAAATAATGAGAGGGATTTCCTATGGATTAAGATTTTCAACTGTGTGTTTCCTATTGACGTTTTTTGTAGTCTCTGTGATGAAACTAGCCGATTTCTGTGAAGAGAGCAAATAATGTGTAACGTTATTAATCCGCGAATGGGAATTACAAGTAGCTGAAGTTACGCATAATCGCATGGGAACGACCGTTCCGGCTGAAGATGAAGGGGTACAAAACAGGTTATGGAGCTTAAGACCACGCAAATATGATAATAGATTTCAGAATTTTGCAGACTAATAAATTTCCCATCAAAATTATCTGTTTTTGTGTGATGTGCGCCGAAAAGTGCGCATCCAGAACTGGTGTGTGGCATAATTGACCAGTTCCGGTGAAGCCACTATTCCAATGTGCAGACGGTAGGCATATAGCTCAACAGCTCAACAGCTATGGTGGTGTAACGGCTGCTGTCATTTGAGAAATCACAAACTAAGGTCACAAGTTAGGTCTGAGAAAGAAATGGATGGCGATTGGCAAACTCTACGTCGTGGTGCCTACTCCTTCTCATACCCAATCATCCCTGCAGCTACTGCATTCTGAGTAACCCACTATCCTCCTAGTTCTTGATTGAACGCCACGAGAAGAGCTCATTTTTCTCTTTTTCCATTTTCAATGTTTTTGCGGCTTCTAGTCTTCTCTTCTACATCGTTCCTGAGCAAACCTAGGATTTTCAATAAACCTTCATCCATCAAACAGACGTCTTTCCACAATTTTTCCTTGTATTTCGATTCTATTTGACATTTTATGTCGCTCTGAACCACATTACAGTAGCTAACTTACACAAATGCAGACAGTTGGGAATAAATAGTGCAAGAAACATTTTACGATTCATCATGTTAGGTAACTTAGCGTTAGACATCGTCGAACGTCTTGATAGATTGACTATGACCGCCTTTTCAAGTGAAGACATATTCACGATGATTGCCAATCATTCTGAATCGTCACAGGCAAGAAATGTACCATTCCCCTATGATGAATGGAGGAGTGTTTCTCTTGGAGCCAGTTGTTCCAGTAGTAACGAAAAAAAAGTTTCAATTTATCAGCGGAGGAAAGTCTTAGGAAAACATCTGAGGTGCTTCTTACCAAGGGCATGGGCATACGCTCATGATTGTTTGAGAGTGATTACTCGATGTTTTCCTAGTCTTGCAATTATTAGTTGATGTCACAGGTGGCCCTCAAGAGAAGTGCCAACTCCTTTTAAATGCTGAGGTGTCTGGTTGTCCTCAAAGGAAACGTAAAAAGCACCTCAAAGCTTAGAAGCCAACCAGGACGTTGGAAGTACAAAGATTATTTATTCCCTAGTCTTAATTTACTGTAAATAACAGAAAGAGTGCGCTCCTGACCTCACACTAAGCTATAGATCGTTAACATCACCACGTGAGTCAATGTTCAGGAGTCAAGAGCCACTTTTGAACCTTACTTATGTTCCATCAACACGATGACCTGTTCTAAGAGGAGGAATTATCACGCAATATCTGTTAATAACTAGTTTAATCACATCGAACGTCGTGGCTTTGTTGTTTTCTCTGGTCATGCCTATTTACGTGAGGCTTACTGCAGTTGGGCTCTCAGGAGAGCTCGCTGCTCGAAGCTGTCTACCACTTGACGAAGGATAACAATCTACATACCCAGGAATTTCCCTTGGCGCAAATAAGTGCCCTAATTATTTACTCATCATTTTTCTCGCCCCTCTATATGTAATATTAGCGGATGGAGTCCTCATGGATTCTCAAGAGAGCGAATTCAATCTCTTTAAATTTGATGGACCATCAAAAAAAAACACATACCAAAAGAGGCAGGTAAGAGATGGAGTTCTGTGCAATACTGGTCGTTGCTTGCATTAGGTGTCACATCGATTCACCGTCTCAATTAAATATATATATTGTTCCACATTATGCGCGTTGGAGTCTCTTTGAGCGAAAGCTTTTTGTACCACTTTTGATTGTACATTTCAGCAACCCGAGAAAGTTAGAGTGCACTTTTTCAAGGTGTCACAGATGTGAGAGGCCCCTACCTACTTTCTCTTAACTGGTATTTTATTTGTTGTAGACATTGGGTTCCTGTCGTGAATCTAGATTCATTACCACGTAATATAAAGTTGCATCGTAACGGCTTTCTGATTCGTGGCTCTTCCTGATTTGAGCCTTTAGCGACGAGTTCCATCTTCGAAGAAGACACCACCATCGATTGAGCAGTATTTCGGGCACACACCACGCTCTCCTGGTGGTCCGGGCTGTCCTGGTTGTCCGGGATGACCAGCATTTCCCGGCGCTCCTGGGTGACCATCTTGTCCGCGAGGGCCCTTCTCTCCAGGCGCTCCTGTAGCACACTTCTTTTAGTAGTAATTTTTCGCAAATTTCGTTAATATTACGAAATGGTCTTGAAAATTGCGGCTACTGTCAAATGATAGATTGAAACAAACCTGGTGCGCCAGGATGTCCAGGTGCTCCGTTTGGTCCAGGGGGTCCCTGTGGTCCGGTAGGTCCTGGAGGTCCAGGTGGTCCAGGAACGAGAGGCTCTGAAGGTGCGTTTGCTCCTGGTTGACCTGCTGCACCTGGCGCTCCTGCTTTTCCTGGTGGTCCTGGTGGTCCTTTCGGTCCAGGAGGGCCTGGTGGTGCATCGTTTCCTGGAGCTCCTGGATTTCCGGGAGTGCCAGGCTCTCCTGGAGGGCCGACAGGTCCTGGGGGTCCTGGTCGTCCTTGTGGGCACGGTTTGCATGGAGGGATTGGAATTGGGTCGCACGGCTGAACAGGGGGCCGTCCAGGGTTACCAGGAATACCGGGTGCTCCTGGGTTTCCTGGTCGTCCAGGGTTTCCGGGCATTCCTGGAGGGCCAGCTTGCCCACCGGTACAGCACGCCTGGCAATTTCCATAGCCAGCCTGCCTTGCCGTCCTGTTCGAATGCTGTGAGATGGTTTTGAGCTGTCCGACTTCTGACCAAATATCACGAGCTGAATCCTGGAAAGGTGCACGTCAGCTAACAAAAAAATTTCATAAATTTCCCATCGCTGACTGACCTTGCAGAAGTTAATCTCACTATGCATAAGTCGTTTTACGTGGTGCACATAGTTGTAGACCATCGGCAGTGTCGTGCATACCGAAATAACAGCCACAACTGAGAATGTGACGGCCGAGTAGGTGACGAAGCGATAGGCCTTGATGCGATGTTCCAGATTCATGCCGACGCAGTGTGTGTGAGTGCGTTGGCGCGCTCTGCGAGATGCCATCTCCATTGCTGCCCTTTTATGTGACTCGCTGCCGCTCTTTTTTTCCAGTGTTCTCAGCGCCACCTCGCCCTGGTCTCGCCCACTGCTCGGACAGCCACCGCTACCGTTTTTGTTGCATGGTAGTTCGACCGAATTATGGTCACACCATTCACGCTTACTGACGCAAGCATCAACTGTAAACTTTCGCTCGTTGCTGAAGAAAAGTCACACGACCGACGTTGCGGTTTTCAAGAACATGCCAAACCCGGACACAATTTCATCCTCTTGCCATACGGGATGTGCTATTTGAGATGTGAAACTAGGGGGACAAAGAATGTAATGTTACGGAACACTATCTCAAGGCCAGTGTTTTGTATTGGCTTCACTTGTGTTTGCTTGAAATCAGATCCTCATATTTTTGCCAGTTCGACACTTTGAAGATAAGAGAACCCTGGAGGAGTAAGTTAACATTCCGGTTTCCGTCCCGTTCATTGAGAAAAAAGGTCCCAAAATGGCAGAATCCCTGGGAGATCTCATAATCCTCAAGATCAGAATCACCTTCTAGTTGTAGTGGAATACACATTTGGTGTCCGCTCCCAGTTTCCCTTTCAAACTTCGACTTTACTTCTTCCGTTGCCCTCACCCTTCGTTGCGGTTACACTCACGCATTTTTTTGGTAGAGGTTGTGTAGTGGCTAGATGTATCACTTAGTGTTTAACACGCAACGCACAAACCTTACGCTCTTATCGAGGCGCTTACCAGGGGGAAGCTTGCACCGGAGCGCTTCGATGTACCTTTGCCAGTATTAAACTGGCCAATACCTCACAAGACTTCAAGCTTTTCCTTTGTATTCGTCTTACTAGTCTCGTGATACTTAACTGATCGCCATTAACGTTCCAATCACTCATTATCGTGACTCACCTAGGTATGCAACGAGTACTCTTCCAGTCTGAAAGAATGAGATTTGTTATGTTAGACTGTTGAAGATGTTCCCATGCTCGGTGTTGGCCACTTCTGGAAGTGTTATAAGTTGGTTTCTGTTGTCGTATCTTATCGTCTTCCCCCTCAACCTGAGGGTCGTTGAATTTCAAAGCTTGTGCTGGTCTCTATACATAATGTCACTCAAACAGACGTGCCTTTTGTACATTTACTCAACTGTATGGTCGACGTCTTCGGAGCTGAATGCGAACAAGACAAAATGGCAAAAGGGTTACACTGTCCTCTATTTTCGGCTTCAGAACAACATAGTCTGCACAGTATTTGCCAGAATAACTTATGACAATTCTCGTAGTTTTTTTTTGCGCAAAATATCGAAAATACACCTCTACTCGTTTCCGAAGCAGCTGAGTATAGCGCTATTTTGCAGAAATTATGAGGAAGTAGCCTATAACACAGTCAGTATTTTTGCATGAGTACGAGTTTCAGTGGTCGCGAAGGCACAAAACCTGAGTGAATGCCATAACTATGTCACTTGCTGTACTTGTTACCACCTATGAAGTTCGGTTCGACAGAGGTGAAGTGAAGCGGTTATCGATTCATAGGTGTTGTCATCACATTAGCCTTGAACAGAGAGGATGCATAGCTGTCGTACCACACCTTAGTCCTTGGAGTTTGAGGAAGCGAGACCGTCTAAGAAAAGAGAATGAAAACAGGAAAGTGAATAGGATGCAACTGCGAAAACTGTACACAGCTGGTGATAACAGTAGGTATTTTACAGTCTTTGCACTTCAGAGTACAACCATGAAAGCAGTTTGTAAGGAGCTTTACTCTCCCTACATCACGAAGGAGGAGGACTGTGAAGATCTGTTCGGGTCAGAAAATGCTTCAAGCTGAGAGAGAAACCGTGGTCGGCCTGCTCAGGAGAACAAATGCTAGATTGGTCACTATCGAACGCTAGTACACCTGTCATTATACTTTTTACTACGATTGAGATAGGCTGCGAAACGCACATGCTTTTTCCTTCAGTTCAACTCCGCTACTGCTTTTTCTTATTGGAAAACGCTGCGCTGAAGAGCGCTGATCGTTCCCCGCCAAGCCTACAAAAGGTAGTCTCATCTACGAGGTCGTCTATGTATTTTACTACCACTACCGATAGTAGCTATCGAATTAGCCTCTGACTGTGCTTTAGTTTTACGATTCCCGTGACGACTTGGAGACAATGCCTGCACTTCCTCTAAAGCAAGTGCTATGCAAAAGATGTACTTGGTAGGAAAGTTCACTAAAGAATTTCAGTTGTTTCCAATGCGGGTATGAAAATCTAAGATGGGGTTTTTATTGAATTTACAGGATTAATTTAAATTCTCTCAGACAAGTTCAACTAATTTTGTGTGGTGGAATTCATATCGATTAAATTCGGTTCCACATTAACCATGGTTTTTCTTACGATCAGTGCTCCTTTTACCTACGCGCACGTCCCCACCCATCTGCGTTTGGGAGTTTCTTTCATGACATTTCAAGAAGAGTGCACGCAAAATTCGGCAAAACTGTTATTATTCTAGGTTTTTGTTTCAGAAAACAGCCCCTCACTCAAGGTCTGAATTGCAAGGGCTCTTGCAGAACGATGTAAGAACTGATTACGCAGTCAATGGAATAATGTTTTGAACAAATGCAATGAACTTGCAGGGCTCCCTCCAGTTCACCTCGTCATTGTGTTTTGCGACGTAATCATGGCGCAACGATAGCACAATTTCTCAATGAAATGGGCCTTTAGAACTTCTCTAAAGAACGGGAATGATTAATGCCTAACGACTTTAGACTTTATACTATAATTACAACGACACACTAGAGTTTCGGTTCTTTTAGCACATTAGACTGCCTTATGTTTTCATGGCGAAAGCGATGGTGCACCGATACAGACCTCTAGAACGAAGAATTTACAGAAACACCGTAATTATCTACGTCTGCAGTTCACCAACGCGCTTCGACCTAAATGTCCTTTATTTGCACGATTCATGTCAAACATGGATTCGGAGATTACTCCCAGGGATGAACCTGTAACCCCTACAGATAACTTGTGGGACGTTATCGGATCGAAAAGCAGTCAAGATAGGGCAGTAAGGGCCCCCAAAAAAGCTCAGCCGTAGGACACCTGAGGCGAGTGACTTACTAAGCGTTGTAAAAGCAGTAGAAATTGCACCAATCGCACCGAGACCCACATCTTGCACACAGACAGCTGCAGCCAGCTATATGAAAGGGCGCGCGCGATCGAGCAGCTAGTTCAGATACCCCCTCCACGCAACATTCTCGTCGAACCCTTTATTATACTCCTTTTTTGAAGCCTTGAACTTCTATAACTACGCCGTTTTCGCGTTTTGCTCGCTCGCCACTTTTGTTCTATTCTGTGCCGTCTTCCATTAATCGTCTAGAACTAGGTAATTCGAATTATCGCGAACTGTGCCTTTCAAAAATGAAGAAGCTATTGTTTGAGCTGGAAATTTGTTTTGTCAACTGGTTCACCATTCCTTCCTTTGTGTGGTATGAAGAAGTCCGTGGGTAGAAGAAATCAAAGTGTTTTTAATTTTTGTTAAGGACGGTAGTCCATTTTATGTCCATTAGTCAGCAGTTCCAAAGAGAAACTTGAAGAAGAAAAATGTTCAGGACGAGAACTGACAAAATGGATATTTGAACTGTTCTCGACATTCGTGGCAATTTTCGCTGAAAAACACCAATAACAGCGAAATTCCTCACAGTGCCGGTGAGTCGAAACCCGTTCTCTCTAGAATTCCCTTATTTTTGAACTCCAATCGTGTTTCGAAAGTATTTTCCTGCGAAAGAGTGTAGAAATTTCCGTTCTCGTCGATCAATTGTGCCAAAGCGATTCGCCAGAAGTTCACATAATGTGGGTCTGCAAAATGAGTGAAAATCAGAACATGCCAGAACATTTCTCAGGTGGATTCACCAACCCCTATCTTTAACAGTTTCGTTCCAATCTGAATCACAGTTTACGTGCTCAGAAATTGTTCTCTCATGCTGTTGCTGCCCTGATTTTGTGGGGAGCCTTTCACCCTCTCGCTCAAATTAGCCTAATATCTCAATCAGACCAGTGTCTCAACTAAGGGTTTTTACCCATGGAATGGAAATCTACTTTTTCTCTCTAGTTACCGTCCACATACTTAGCAGTCGAACTGTAAAAACATTGATGCGGTAGACGTCACAGAAAGGACGCGTACGAGCATCGAAGTTTTTTCGCTCTGACGAGTCTGCCGGTGTGACCGCTCGCTTCAGGTCGGACGACCATGGATGCTCGCCTAGTGGCGACGAGAGGAAAAAAACCAGCACTGCTCCTCCGCAATTCTTCTCCATCATCGATATTTCGAGAAATGGGCACCGGTTCGGGGAAATTCTGCCTCTCTAATAACTCGTCGTTGTTTAGGCGTGGAAGTTATCAGAACTGGAAGGTAATTTTCGATCAAGAAAGATGAAACAGTCCTGTACGCATTTCTTGCATCTTCGGCACTGGGGACTAGGCGGTTCAAGGTCGAAAACTTAAATCGAACATTGCATGACAAAGTGATGGTTTCACCCAGTAATCAAAAGACCCTGTCAACCCCTCCCAAAGCTTCATCCAAAAATACTTAAAAGAAAGAGAGGGGGCAGGAGGAGTGGAAAGGGAGGCAGGGGGTTAGTCGGCTTTGAGAGTCAATGGGTAGAGGCGTTCAGAGGCTCGGACTTACTTTTATTAGCTGGAAACAATAATGGTCTGCTTTGAGAGAAGACCGCAGTTACTGCCAGCATTTGAAGGTCACAATGACTGAGCAGATTTTGCCTGTGGTGATGATATGGCAAAAAAGTTGAGGGCAGTCTCTGCGGATTGTAAAACTTGATGATCTAATGTCTTTTCACTGCCTGTACCACTTTACATATGAGTCAACACCAAGTCAGCTTGTGAGTGGGTTTTTCGTGTGGCCTGCATTGCTGCACCTCCGGCCATATCAATCTTTTCGCAGTCTCGGATCTATATAGACTTTCTTTGCACATAAGTATCTTCGACCTTATATTGACTCTCCTGGTCTATGCGTATCTTCTTGTCATGCTTCAACAAAATCACCATCCAGTTTTCGATGGTCTTCGGATATGCAATCTTAGTAGAGCACGCTGAGTTTTGCATGGGCCGTCCTGCAACTCCAGCTGTCCTCGTTATCAATCAACTTACCCTATTCAATTCCTTGCGACATCTGTACCTATAGAATGGAGCCTATAGTCTAAGATCAGCGGCAACACATGGGAAACATTCTTAGAAAATTGCAGGCAAAGAGCATCGAGAATTATGACGCTCTTATTCAAAAGGAAACTGAGAGCTGATCAGGGACTATAGGCTAGTGCCCCCTCCGTACTCGAATCAAAGAACACCTGGAGGGGCTAAGAAAGTCTCGCACCCAAACCCCACTGCGAATGCATCGATTTCTGTGCCACGGTAACGAACTCACAGTTTCAGTAGCCGTCTTGACACTAGAAACGGAGACTACTGCGCGGAGAGCACTTGAGGCGTGTTGGATTGCAGCTAGAGACCCACAAATTAACAGGGAGGAAGAGCGTATGGCCGTATCCCGTGACATCGCGCCTTTTCTCGACTTCTGCGAATTTTTGACATTACGGTGAGGTCAGAAACGAAGAAGGCTTGCTCATTGTACGCATACTGTAAACACTGGGGGGTCGATCTAACGCTTCGGCGACTTAGATCAAGGTAAGCCTCTTGTATACCGGGTTCGAGGGGTCTCTAGTCTAAAGAACTGTCTTGGGTTTATCTCGCCTTAATATTGAGTCAGTCTCAATGGTTTTTCGAATTTTTAGGCTCTGACGAAGGCGAACTCGCCGAAACCTTAGCCCTATAAAGTTTGAAATCTTGGAAAGGCTGAAGCAAATGTACATACATATCAGTCAAAGGTCATGTCAAGATTAGGAGAAAGTCGATCGTGGTACATTCTGATCGTCCCAGAAAGTGCCCCATATCGATGGTGGTGAGAAGTAACTTTTGCCATTTTTTCAGATCTTCGGGCATTTCTTCACCACTGGTATCTCGTTCAGATACCACAATTCCGAAATCAATTCCGTCAGCGTCATCTAATTACCCCACTTTCAAGAAACCTTATACTTTGCAAATTTTCGCGCCTTTTTCGCCACCGATGCACTATTCTGCACTAGCACGTCCTCAATTTATCATGAAAGGGTTATCGCGAGATTATCGTGAACGGAGCTTTCAGTACCAAGAGTTTCCCGTACTTCTACTTTCCTTTCCCATTGTCCATTGTTGGGCAGGGAACTCACTTCGATGGGAAGTGTTACCTTGGAGCATGCCTAATTGCACAGCATGTCTGTGAAAATCCCTGTGTGGCCCAGCGACGGAATTCCTTCTGCGCTTGTCCTCACCAAGAGGTTGCGATCTTTCCTACACTTTTATGCAATACAAATTGATTGATGACAGTTCTCGGGCTTCGAACTGGCCAATGATGGTGTCTCATGGCAGCCCAACGCCAATATTTTTTTTAAAAAGTTTCTTCCCTATGCTAGTTTTTCTTGAATTCCCACTGAGTCTGCCTATTACTTCTCTCGTATCTTTTTTGACAATATAACTCACACCTTTAAACTGCTCATGAAGGTTTCGCTAAGGGCAAAGAAATATGTGCACTTTGAACAAAATCGCTGTGGAAAAGTGGAGGACCCGAATACTAGATAGAGGAATCAAAACTGCCAGAGCTTTTTCGCTGCTTACTCACGAGTACAAATGTGAAGCTCGAGAGGAGGGCCATGCTGGCTTGCTCAAAGCCTGAATTAATCAAGTTGCTGCGGATCAGCCTGAAGGATAAGCAGAGTATAAGCGAAATGAGGTGCGTTAAGTTTCAAGGTAGCTATCAGCTGATTGTGAAAATGAAGAAAGTCGGAGATGTATTGTAGAATATTGCAAGCTATTATAGAAGAGCCGGACAGGTGCAGTAATGTATTCTAATATCCGCGAAACCTTCCACGGTTCAAATGTGATCATCGACATGGTGTGCCGCTCGCGTCGTGTACGGCAAAACCTGACTCGGCTAATGATGGCCTCCAGCGCTCCCGATCAAAGAATTTTAATCTTACACTCAACATCACGACCTTTCGCCTTCCCGCCTCACTCGTCTTCGTTTGGAGCAGCCTGTGAGCAATTCCTGTAGTATCATTAACTGCCAGGCGGGCCAGACACTTTGAATCAAAAGATCTGTTGAATATTATTAGACAGTGCTTCTGTGCCAATCTGTTGACTTCTGCTACACAAGTTCTTCAAGCCCTCAAGACCAATCGTTTGATAGCTTTTTTTCATCAAATGAAATATTTGCTAATAATAGTCAAATATTCCGCAAATGTTCATGAGCATCACCATTCCGTTGCTTATTCGTGTTTGCTTGTTATTCTGATGTTGCCATTGATATGAAGCTTTTCAGAAAACGCTGTGAGACAATTTCTCTGAACTGCTATCAATGTGTAAAAACAAGGACAATTAACCGTACATTGATCAAAACAGAAAATGTAGTGTCAGGCACTCGAGTCCTTGGAAATCATTAACATGAGATGATCGTATAACATGAGATGATCGTTGAAGAGCCATTGTTAGTCTCTGCATAGAGACTTGGCCACCTTTAATAACAAAAAAATAGTTGCTGATTGTAGCTTTGTAGCATTACAGCAAGGCTGAGCACTTAACAAGCTCACGACTTCGTGAAAAGTACACGCCCACACGTCCGCGTCGAAAATTCATGGGATTACCCGCAAACTCTAACTCAAACCAACTATCGTAGCCCTTTGATTACCCACCTACCTTATCGACTTGTTCACTTTAGTGCCCAGAGAAAAGAGTCACAACAACCGGAGTGAACCAGGAGCGGACATTCATTCAATTTTTGCATTGGGAAACACACAATTGTTGTATTGTGGAGAACATTTTTGAAGCGGTGAGAGAGCACGGATTCAGACAAATGGATTAGCACTGTTCTAACAAACTCGTCTGCAATGTAAGTAAATACGAAAGTAAATACTTCATACATATCACATTACTACATTACCGTGATTACTGTGATTAATTATGTTTTTATGCTATGAGTATGTTTCTGAACTGTGTTTTTAATATTATTATGTATACAGAGATGAGGCACTATTTCGAAACTGTTCGAGATTACATTAGTACAGCCCTGATGAATAGAAGATTGGGCTCATAGCGTGCCACAAGCTTGTTCCCTGTCCAAGGGGAACCATTTTCTTTGAGGAAGTTACTAGCGAATGTTAAGCCTACCGTCTGTCCATTTAAGAAAAGCTATCACTGATCAAATTGTGCAGGGAACAGTGTGTGCAGTGTATGGAAATGGCCTGTACGACCATGAAAACCTATCGACGTTCAGCGGAGGATGTCAAAAGTTGATCTCACCTCTCCTCGCAAGCCATAATAGCATAAATCAAACAAAGTCGGCTTACCAACTTCGTACTCAATGGACAGGTTACAGCTTCATAGTATAATATTATAGTAGTAGGGTTCCAGGCTCCAGATCCGCAACGATGCTGTAATTCAATGAAGACAAAAAATAGAAGTTGAAGGTCAACACGTACTTTGCATTCGATTTTCTAGGCTGGACTGATATGAGCAGCTGCTAGGAGAAGCGCCTACCATATTTCGTGGCCCTGCTGACTTTTAAGAAGGTGCTCAACCATATACAACAAATCTTCAGTACTCAATCTGAGTTCTGAGAATGCTTGAAAACGGTATGTTCCTAAGAACGAATCTTTTTTCTTCTTGATCAAGAACTCGCACGATGGTAACGAAAGCTACATGGATGAGCTGGGGTGCAAAGTTTGACAGAGAAAGTATTTATCACAGAAGAGATCAGTTCCAGACCCATTCTCTTCCTATCTACACCCAGTATTATTGCGAAACACGTGACGGACTTAAAGTGCCATCGTTGACAGCATAGTCGCGGCTAGTTGCTCAAACATGCCTTAAGAAAAAGGCAACATGTTAGGAAGGGTTGACACAGGGGAAGGCCGCCGCGTGGAAAAAGCAAGCCCTTAAGCTTTTGAGAGTGAAGAAAGTTGATAACTGGGCACTATCGGATGAGGCATTGGTAGAATATAACGATTTCGTAGTTTAGAAATAAACAGTCTTCTCTCGCTGACCATACCTATGATGCACACAAAAGCGTATTGAGAATCCCTCGAGATCATTCAACGAGAAGATCCTAAGCTCTTATGAGAAGGGCTTTTCGAAAAGCTACAAAAAAGGTCGCGGGCGTCTCCTAGAAGCACCTCACAGAAGAAAGGATCACGGCAGAAGATAACCTGAACTACGGAGCTCGCGACCAGTTAGAAAAAGAATCTCGTAATGTAATGGTAAGTATAATAGTTGTGCTGAAAGTTACGGCGCCTTTGAGCGAGCCATGCAGCCAGGTCTTCAGGGGGTGTGTTATGAAATGCGCATTGCGAAACACAGTATACTGTAGCTTTTGTGTATAATCTCTTATGGTCAAGCAGTACTGGACCTTCTGTCTACGATCTCCAATGATCTCTTAGATTAGAGATATCCACCAAAAGCAAAAAGTTGAGCTCATAAGTTCCGCCTTATACGTTATATATTACTCGATTTCTGTATTCTCATTGCATATTGTTTCACTTCATTATCGTTATGATCTCTCCGCGATAAACGGTTTTACTGACGAAGTTTAAGTGTACCTCACCTGGACGGCTAAATGCTCAGCTACATGTGCTCGACAGTTTTGAATCACGAAGATCGAAGTGCAAGCGAACTCCGCCAATCAGCGGGAAAACTTATTGATCAACGAAGAAGCAGTTGTATTCGGCGTCGGTGTAATACCAAAAAAAAACTTCGGCAGGTAGCCCAGGAGAGGGCGCTATTACAGTACCACTGTTTTGTTTGTTTTCTACTGACGACTATAGCATGCCGCGCTCCCGCGCTTTGATCTCCCCGCGACCCAACATCAATTCGGGCGCCGTATATAAGCCCTCGACGCTACGATTGGCCTCTCTTTTTTCTTTTTTTGATTTGCTTCATGTAATTCGCTTTGCCGGGACTCATCCCTCCCCTTTCTGGTGCTCATCTTCCGGTTGTCCTATAGATCTCCCGCTGACTACCGAGACGTGTTTTTTGGTGCCGGTGTTTTCTTTTGTGAAATTGTTGTTTTTTCACAGTTGTCCACATTGCCAGTAGTATTTTTTGTTTGTTTTTTGCACAATTTTTTGTGCGTGGGTTTTTGTTTTCATTGCTCTAATAAAGAGATTTAATGTCCGCCTCTGGTGTTGGTGAACCCGGTTAATACCGCTCCAACTATATACTGTGAACGAGAGGACGAAATACGCCACTGAACCACGCATTCCAGCACAGATTGGGCTTATTCATATCGAATACCTTGCACTTTTCAACTTATGGTACATCGTCCGGGAATCAAGCCGATGCGGGGCACAACCCTGTTCTGGAAATAAATCGTTGCGGTCACTCTTACAGTGAAAGAGTTGAAAAGCGTTGTGTTATGGGCTGAGCAGGTTGCAACGACACTATACTTTATGTAAAGATTATATCATGCGTCGTGTACCGGGCGAAGGAGCGTGGAATTATGACTATGAATGAGAGTTGACTCAGTATTGTGCTTTAATTTAATGCAACCAACTTCGGAGGCAACAGATCGTATTTCAAGATTTTTGGATGTCATGATAGAGAAGTACAAGGACCGTGGATCTGAGATCGACAAAACGAAGACGATAGTGAGTCAGATAAAAATGACGTTCTTACATCGAGTATTTACACGTGGTGCAGAGATATTGACTCCGCCAAAGGTAGCTGCCAAAGTCGACAGAGAACATACAAGAAGATTCTCATCTATCCTCGAACAAGTATAGTCGGTTTTCACTTCAACTGCTTCAGCAACAGCTCGAGGATATGGCTAAGACCTATGACTCGATCCCATATGAGCAACGGACTCTGGCAGATATATTAGCTCAAACCACTTTGGCCAAGGACAAATACGCTCGGAAAGAAGTTGTGCTACGCCTCGGGAATTGCACAAAACCTGCTTGGGCATATTCAGAGTATGGTTTGAAATGTGCAGTTGCAGATATGGACCCGGAGTTTTTTCCATGGATTATGTCGAAATCGAGGCCGAAAATACAGAGAAGAGGATCACCGACATCTTCGATACCTGGTCATACTCCTGTCAGTGTGGACGCTTCGATGCTTCTAAGGCCATTACTATCTCTAAAAATGTATCAAAGTGGTTGCAGACCTTGAGCAGGGATGAGATCATTTTCACCGATTTTTCAGGCGTTTCTCACAATTGAAGCTGGAGTTAGGACAGTCCACAGCGTTGATCAACCAATCATAAGAGACATCATTCTACATATCGTTCTACAGCAGTTATCAGGATCGAAGTTGTCAGCAAGGACATTGTTTCGAGCCCTGAAGGTAGCGATATTACCAAGCGAAGCCAATGATGTACTAGGTCTCTTCCACAAGTTGGCAGACTCAGCCGACTTGCTCCTAGCATCAAGCTCGAAGAGTCAGTTCTTTATCAGAAGGTGTTCGTCAAGAGAGGATGTGGTTGCGTGGGCGAAGATTTCTGAACATTCGTTAGCCAGCAAGGTATTTTCATCATTGAGAGTATACCGACTTATGTCTGTCTGGGCCTGTCTCTGCGTATTGATGGAAGAAATTACTGCTTATTGGTCGACAGATGTAGCCTCGAGCAAATAAGGCAGTGCTGCCGTTTCTTTGCCGGATTGCAATTTTACTGTCTGAATTACAGTATTAGTGGTCGAAGCACGAGAGAACATGAACGGAAGGACGTATTCGATAAACTGCTTAAATGGATCTTAGACGGCATGAAATTTTTTCAGTTGCATTGCTTGAACCCAGCAACATCAGTAAAACATTGCAAAACATCGATCGGAGCAGTTACAACAATAATCTTTAATGAAAAAGGCATCAAAGAACTCGGTGCAGAAAGCCGCTACTCTATGGAGAAGCAAAGAACATGATGAATGGATACGAGTTACTGATTGATCTTTTGAGAGAAGAGATCATCCCGGCCTCGGCGGCTTCGTCCATAACTGCTGCTCTCCTCTCTTTCAGATCTTCCTTTATCGCTTCTCTGCATAGCTTCGCTAGTTCGGATTGTTGATGATTGCCTGTAGCTCGCGCGATTCCACGCTTGTGTAAGACTCGAGGAGAGAGGTTCATCGGCTATTCGTGAACACTATGCTTTCCAAGCACTATCATAAAAATGTGGTGTATTTTTCGCTTATATTTTTGACTGTTGTTGACAATAACGAAATCTTCACAGAGACTTTCAGAAGGACGCGAAGCGGTCCCAGTTGATAAAGGTTCCAGGGTTTCGTATCCTGAATCCTCTCTTCAGGCAGTGAAAAACTGAATCTAGGGTGAGGAGGTGATGGTCATATCCCGTGTAGAACTCAACTACGAACAAAAGCTACGTCAGCTAGGCATAACTTTCGACCAAAGCGACCCCTGATGGTCCACCCCATGATGGAACTGTCCACCGGATGACTCCCATGACTCACGAGTGAGATTGCTTCTGGAACTGCGAGTTACCATGGATGGTGTGGGACAACATGATAAACTCGTACAGCCTTTCACCCTGTTCATTCCATTCCGTGAGACCTAGTTTGGCGTTGAAATCATCGACGGTGACCTTGAAGAAAGTATGATTTTTCCTGTAGAGCTTCTCCAGATTCATATAGAATGCCTTCAACTCCTCTTGTTCGTAGCTTGATGTAAATGCGTAGGCAAGGAAGATTGTTAGAGTCGGAGTCGATCCACATTTTCTCAATCGCGAAGTCGGATTGGGGATGTCAAGCTTACGCACGTATTGACGGGGAAACCTACGCCGCCGACGTCTTAGCAACTGTATGTTACAAGAAACAGTTCTTTTCCATTCTCGAATACGACGCGCAGAGGCCTACCCCTTCTCGTTCGGTCAGTCCGTTATGTCGTACTTGATATTCCTACCCTGTATCATAAGGTCTTCGATGCACGCTCCCGATACAAGAGTTCGTGCGATAAAAGTACAGATTGCCATTCTAGTCATTCTCCTTTTGGGCAGCCATTTATGTCCCTGAGATTATAGCAGCATTGCAGTGGTACTATCAAACGCTGCGGTATCGCGGGCTCTCTCAGGCTAACTAGAGTGAGGTCCGTCCATTTATATTACTGTTTTTCTCATATGGGTCTCGACGAATTGCTTGGAAGGTACTCACGTGGCGGCAGAGTTGACCCAGGGTAGTTAGCCAGGATATCCCAGAATGGAAGGATCTTCAGTTTTTCAGGCGAATAAATCGCCTCCCGAACACTTACCATTCACTCGTATGCTACTTTTGTCAGAGTTGATGGGCAGGATACCAACTTCACTCGCAGACTTTCCACACACGTATGTACATATATATACACCTGCGACATACAGAAGGCTTATCGACATAGCCAGTGAGAGGAAGCCACTCTAGTACAGTGTTACCCAAAATCGGGTCGAATATTCATTAAACATCTTAACTATAGCGATGAATTGTTAGTATGAAAGACAGAGAGGCAGAACTAGTTCGAAACAATATGTGGTGAGGAGGTGAAGCTTACTTAGACATTGCTGGCCTGCAACGCGGCCATAAGAAAAAGGGTTTATATAATAAAGCAATACGCTGCTTAAACCTACATCTTGCTTGTTCTGCAAGTACTAGTTTATGTACAAGTTTTCAAGTGGCACATTACAATGAAGCAGAAAAGTGATGGAGCAGCGGATTGCATCTTCCTTCGCTCTAATGGAATTTCTTATCCGGAAAACTTCTGAAACGACCTTGCAAATTCTTCACCCCTTACTTTTTTGGATAGCCAGCACTTCTTTCATTTACTTGAATATGCTCCTACTTAAAGCTGTATTGAAGGTGAGAAGACACCTCCTCATTTCCTTACTATATAGAATAATCCTTACTATATATAAACCACAAATGTCCGTTTTTCTGTTTGCCTGTATGTCTGTTGAGCCGAACTCCTTGGGTCACGTGATCTAAGCTAGGCTCTGCCTCTAGGGGCAGGGCTTGCGTTAATAGAGTAGTTCACCGGAAATCTGTAACTCCTTTGCTCCTGAGCCTAGAGCATTCAAATTCGGCAGAGATGTAGGTGGTAAGATGGGAAAACTGATGGTAGGTGGCAGGTGCAGACTCCGTCCACGGGGACGGGGCTCCCTCGAAAACAGTCAAACTGGACCTGGGTCGTTCAAATTTGGCAGAGATGTAGGTGGCAAGATGGGAAAACAAATGGAGGTTTCATGTGTACATTCCTCCCACTGGGAGCGGGGCTTATATAAAAATAGTCAATGTGAACCTGATTTGAGTTTTTCAAGAAGGGTAAATACATTGATAGGAACCGATTACGAAATTTGGTTCACTACTTGCATACGACCGCTACTCAGCGGAGCAAGCGATTCAGTGAAGGATCACGGTTCCTCTCTGCTTTGATATCATTCATGGCAGAACTTCCAAACGCTAACAATATTGGATTCTCACTTATTGATGTATCAGTAGATAAAATGAGCTACATTCATAAAGATATTTGATAACGGTATTATTATGACTCGACAACATTTGTGAGTACCATTCAAGGGTTCGGATGCCTACCAGATAAGTCTTCAAGGGGTGACTATTTTTTTTCATCAACAGCGACAGATGGAGACAGTCAGATTTCAATAAAAGGAATAGGCATCGGCACTGGAAATCGTTGTTTCTATTTTGAATATCGTTTGCGTGCCCTATTGTTTTCCTATCCAACTTCGTGTTCCGAAAAGTACCATTCGTTCCAGAGAAGGAGTGTGCTGTCTGCCGTTTAACACGACTCCATCATAGGAAGGAGGGGAGCCCGGCGTTAGTCGGGCGGTCCCACTGTCTCTATACAAAAAGCGGTAATTTTGTGTGCCTGTTTGTGGGTCGGTTTATGCGTCTTTCCGAAAGTCACATAGGCACTACGAAGAAGGTGAATGTCACGTGAGCGTGGTGAGGAAGCAGTCATGAAATGGGAAGTCAATCGATACTGTTCGTATTGTGCGTGTAAGTTTGATGTAACACGTCCAAGGTTAGTTAAGGTAGTGCTCCCATCCAAAGCTCATTGCCTCAGCTCACTGTCCTAACTAATAGTGATTGCTTGCGCACCGCGGGTTTTTCAAACATATTCATACGTAAAAGTATGACAGCAGCGGAGCGCAAGCGTGAGTTCGAGTTGAGAGAGGAATGTAGGGATCGTAACAAGCAGCTGAAGGGCCGTGTTGGGTGGTGTACCGTGGTGAGATTAGGCGAGTTGACGAACTCCCAAAAACGCGGGGGTCGGGAAAGGCCTAAATTGTCACGGTCCACTCCTAGGTATGCGATGTTTTCTTTTCAATTCAAGAAGCTTGAGTAACAAGATACACCATTTACAATTTTTCTTAGACACGTACAATCCAGACTTTGTTTTTATCACTGAGACATGGCTATCATCAAAAGTATCTAGTTCTGAACTTATTGGAAAACGCCCCTACATCACATTCCGGCTTGATCGTAAAGATAGGAGAG